ATTATTTTAGAGTTCTTTGTTTGCCTTGCCACCATTTCAATAATACACATCCTTCTTTTAGCTTGCTAGTTGAATAAATCTAAACATTCTTTTGGTTTGTTCGTTTTAGGCATAAAAGATTGAAAGTTTGGTTTGATAATCTTAGAAACAAAATAAGTCAAATTAATATGAACGCAATCGAATCGACATAGGCAACAAAAATTGGTTTTGCTCATAAATGTTACACATGAATTTATATTAGTAGTGGCAACAAAATTTAGACTAATTAATGCATAATATTTCTTTGATGTTGAACCTAATACTAATTGTACAATTTGTTTTCAGTAGTAGCAAAAAAATAAAAAAATAAAAATAAAAAATTACCCTCATGAGACGAAATAGAATAGTGGCCCGAGACATCTCCGACAAAGAATAACCCAATACTAGTAGTCCTCAATTTAAACTGAATTTTACATTCATATTATGTACTTACCAAAAAATAGAAAGAAAGAAAAAAAAATAGAAAAATAAACATAAAGAAAAAGATGAAATTTCAACAAATCTCATAATTTTGTTTCAAGATTTAGACAACAATTAAACAAAATAGCCAAATATCAAAATTTAGACAAAAATTAAGCAAAATGTCCAAATAGGTATTATTTTTGCAACTTGGTCAAAGAAAAAATCAAAACTCTACGATTCAACAAGAAAAAGATATATACAAAATAATACAAATATTGCATCCAAATATAGATTCTCGCTAATACTATTGTTTGTTAAGTTACTCTAATTTTGTAAGCATTATCTTTTGTTGTTGTAATTATGTTTGTTAAAATTATTGTTTTGAATAAATCTACATATTCACGTTAATGCAAAAACAATCGGGTTTTTGTATAATAAAATTCTGAAAATTTCAAGTTGAGTTTTATGTGTTACTTATATTTGGAAGAAAACCAAAATTTGATATAAACATTTTTTTCAAATACGTTTATTTATACCAAAGTACGGGTGAGCATTTAGACCTCCGGATCGGACTGGAAACCGGACCGGGGCCTGCAGGTCAGTCCAAAGTCCATCAATTTCTGCAAAACAGGTCCGGTCCAAGAGTCGGTCCAGTTCGGTTCGATCCAAATGTTCACTTTTACGTCGAAAAACCGGGAACCAGACCCGGTAAGCCTTAATAGGTCTGGTCCAAGGTCCACGTTTCTTTAAAACCAGTCCAATCAAAGAGCCAAGTCGAGTCGATCTGGTCCAAATGTTCACCCCTATACCAAAGTAGCCATGAACTTTTAAAGAAGAGTAAATAGCACAAAAGTCATTAACTTTTCATTTTTTTTCGATTTGACACCATGTTTTTTTTTTGTTATAATTAAGCGACTATGTTTAAATTTGCTGCAATTTTTACCAGTTGACCGGTTTGCTTCAGGTCATCCGATAGTTACGGCTACTGCTGACGTGGTATGATGACATGTCAAAAGTGAAAAAAAGTGGCGCAAAAGTCACTTTGTAAATTTCTTACATAGGGACCATTTTTGTAATGTACTTTAATTGACTTATTTATAGCATTGTATTTTTAGAAACATACCCAATTATTGCAATATAATTCATATACAAAGAAATGTCTCCGAATTCGAAGATAAAATTACAATTTTTTTTTTCTTAGGGAGGAGGGAGTCATTCCCTTCCAACCCACCGAACCCACTGCCAAATCAGTTTTTCTCTTTCATATTTCTTCATCTTTCCCAATCCGCAAGACACGGAAACTCTATCTTTTTTAACTCATTCAACCCATTCAATTAAAAAAAATACAAAACAATCAAGGTAAAATCTTAATTATCAATAGAGTTACTGTTGGTACCACTCCCGCTTCGGCGGGTTGTTTAATTGGTTTCACTAACCCACTTCATCCTCTCTCTCTCATTTTCTCTTGTACCATGTGTTTTAAATATTTTTTTTAATTGAGTGAGTTGAGTGGGTTGAGAAAGATAGGATTTCCGTGTGTTGTGGGTTAGGAAAAATGAAGAAAAAGAAGAGACAAAAATTGATGTGACAATGGGTTCGGTGGGTTGGGAGGGAATGATCCCTCCTCCCTTAAGAGAACATTTTTGTAAACTTGTCTCACATATAGGGATTGTTTCTGTAACTTTTCTATACAGGTGTTCATGTAAGTTTCTTACACAAGGAACATTTCTGTAATGCACTTTGATTCGTTTATTATAGCATCCTACTTTCAATTATTTTCCTATTATAGCATTATACTTTGACAAATATTCCCAATTATAGGAATATCACTCATATACAAACCAACTTTCAGAAATTATAATATTAGGTGAAGACCCTTTTAAGCTAGTTGGAAGGCAAAGGCTTTGTCGATGCTGCTGGTTTCTCCGACGATGATAGTCCATGAACCTTAGTTTTTGAGGTTCTTGGGTGGTCGGAAGAAAGTGATGAAAACCCATTTGAAGAGAGCGGTAATGAGTTTGAAAAGATAAAGAAAACGAAGTACAGAAAATGGAGCAATTATGTATTTGCACATGTTTGTTTCATTTATATACTCTTTTCAATCTATTGTACATATATTTTCTTATATTATAGGGTAAATGGAGCAATTATGTCATTATATATGTTTATTTCATTTATGTTACAAATTGGACAAAATCAAAAATTTAGTGTCAAAATTAGAAGAGATTGAAAACTTAGTTTCAAAATCGCGAAAAAATGAAAACATAGTATCTTTTGCGCCACTTTTTTTGCTTCTAACACGTTATTATGTCACATCAACGATGACAACTGAATGACTTAAAGCAAATCGGTCAACTAGTCAAAATTGCAATAAATAGAAAACTTAGTGACTTAATTGTAACACGGAAAAAGTTAGTGACTTTTATATATATATATATATATATATATATATAATATATATATATATATATATATATATAATATATATATATATATATAGTTAGTAACTTTTGTGTCATTTACCCTTTGAAGAATCATTAAAGTCGCTCTCACATGTTGCATCTTTTTAAACAGAAAAGTGAAATATTCCACCACCTATTATTCCTACAAAATTTTCCACTATTTTTTTTATCTTAATCTTCTTTTTTGATATTTTTGATTTGGTAAATAGAAAAATAGTTAGAAACAAAAGGTAAAAAGGTAAAAATGATATTTGATTTCTATTTTAAATATTAGGTTACAACCCGTGGGAACCACGGATAAGAAAAAAAAACTATACATTTGAATTTATAGAAATTGTCATTTCTAATATTATACTTTCTAAAATTGATTTTTTTTTTTTTTAGGATTTCAAATATGGAGTGGAAAATAAAATAAAAATTATAATTCTTTTATTGCATTCTACTTCCTAGAAAATATCGGTTATAGCGTCCTACTTTGTAAAATGGCATCTTTTTGAGGATTTTAAACATGAAATGGAAAATTTTAAAAAAAAAACACTTTCTTAAAATTGTCATTTATAACATTCTACATTTTGAACTATCATTTATGTACCAAAAAAATTATATTTTTAAAATTTATCAACCGTAAAATGCACGATTTGCTTGAAAGAAAAATTAAATACAAATGAGTAACATTAAGGAATTCTAAAACAATATTTTTCAAAAGAACTTGTCGTAAATGAAAATAAATTAGGTACTTTAAGTAATAGAAAATAGTATTTAAAATAACAATAAGTAATAGAAAATAGTATTTAAAATAACAAAAAGACCGATCATAAATTTCCAAAAAGTTCTTTATATATAATTAAGTAATTTGAAGAAATTGCTCAAAAACAATTCGGATTAATTATCCATCAATAAATTAAAAAAAAAAATTAAACTCTCAAAAAAAGTTAACCTCTCATAAATTGTAGCCATGATACCTCCCTCCTTGACACTTCATTTGTTTTTCGGTTGACAACAAAGAGACGTCAACATCATTTTCTATTTAAATGTTCTTTTCTAGCTTTTTCTTCATATCATCGTTTCTAATCATAAAGGTCTTTATGAAGTCTTTGATTCAAAGCTAAGATTCCTAAAATATGTTTTTTTTCAAGATACATATATATAAAATAAAACAGAAGACCGCAAATACAAAAAATTTGTACACTTGATCATGGATTACAAGTAATTAACAACACATATTACAAAACACCACCTAAAGAAAAAAAATCTCTTGAGCCTTGAACTTTTATCTTTGATCTTTGAGGGCACCACCAAAAGAGTGAATTTCAACAAAACTGAAACAGGGGCAAAATGGTCAAGATGTTGAGCAAAAAAAGAAGGCTTTCATTTCATATATCAGTCCACCAATACCATAAATCATAATATTATAGGGTAGCATAAATTTTTAAACAGGCATGTATAAAAAAGAAAGTAAACATAAGAATGATAGTACTGCATTTATGTAAATATTTGAAAGCAAATTAATAAAAAAGAAACTAAACATTATAATGGGTTTTGTATGATACCATATATTTTAAAATTCCCTTAAATAATTGAAATAAATTTGATAAAAAGAAATAACCAAGTTCTATTCAAATATTAAAACAACTAAACATTTATATGCAAAGCTTCTTTTTTTTTATGTCTGTCATGTATTAGTACCAAGACTATGGTACTCTAATTTGTAATAAAATCAAGTACATGCTGGCAACCCGAATACAATAAGAAGTAGTTAATATGTAAGGCTGGAGGGAGTGGTGCCGCATTCCCTCATGAAACCACAGTGACACGTAGGCGCCACCTCACCCATTACCACAAAAGTGTGGTCTCATACCACCCAAGGAGTAGTGCTACACTTTGTGTTTTTTTAAATTAAATAAAAACTATAATTTTAATAAGAATCATTCATTTCATTACTTCAAAAGAAAAATAACATTACATTCCATTGCCCAAATAAAAATCCTACAAACTTCAAAAAAAAAAAAAAAAAAAAAAAAAAAAAAAAAAAAAAACTAGAAATTTTAAACCTACAAACTCAAAAAAACATACATTAAACGATTTAAAATAAACGCACTACATGAAGTCGTCCTCCGAGAACTCGTCTTCCGGGTCCTCCTCCGGATCCAAATTGAGGTTAATGTGTTGCATCCCGTAAATGTGTTCCACCAAATCCATACGAAGATTGTGAAATGTTTCATTGCAACGAACCCCTGCTCTCTTTTCAATGTACTCGTCGCCCCCAATTTCTATTCCTTGTGTCGCGGGAATGGTTTCCTCTTCATCATACTCACATTTTGCTCTTCCTTCATTTTCGATAATCATATTATGCAGTATTATACATGCATACATGACTTCATGCATTTTTTCCTCGCTGAAAAAAATTGCTGGTTTTTTCAATATAAACCAACGTTTCTTGAGAGCTTCAAAAGCCCGCTCGACATCCTTCCTAGCTCTTTCTTGAGCTTTCTTGAATTTTTTCCAACAAGCATCATTCGGACACGTAAACGGTTTTACAAAAACTGCATACTCAGGATAGATTCCATCAACTAGATAATAATCATATTTATATGGTGTTCCACGCAATTGGAAAGAAGAATCGGGTGCAGATCCGTCGTATATGTTGTTAAATATTGGTGACCGATTAAGAACGTTAATGTCGTTGAGGGATCCAGGAGAACCAAAAAAAGCATGCCAAATTCACTGATCCTATGATGCCACCGCTTCAAGTATGACCGTTGGATGCCCATGATCACCTCAGGTAAATTGACCATGGTGTGAGGCAGGGCAATTTTCCCATGCCCAATGTGGACAATCTAAACTTCCTAACATTCCAGGAAAGTCATGTACGCTAGCATGATGAGATTGCAATTTCATGATGTCATTGCGTGTAGGCTTACGTAAAATATTTTGGACCATAAAACTGAATAATAGTTTTGTAAAAATAGTGTAGACTATCTCGTGCGGTCCTAGCTGACATCCTAAAACTCTCGTCCAACGCATCACGAGGGATGCTGTCACACCCCCAAACCAAGGATGGCGGAAACGTCCGGGGGTGGAGGACTTCATGTATAATATCACAACAACGAGTATAATAGTGCTCAAAGTAAATACAACCATCATAAATATAATTGAAAAGGTTACACCATAGTATATGTTTGCATGTTTCAAAATCAATTACATTATGATGACAAAATGAACTGTTTGACGATTTAACGTCTCATCCTCAAAATGCTGATGTTTTCCTGTTTCACTAATTTCCTGAGAATACAAGTAGTTTTGAAAAGTGTCAACAATTAAGTTGGTGAGTTCATAAGAGTTTTGTTTGAGGAAGAAACTGTTTTCCTTGTAAAAGCGATAGAGTATGATTTCCAGAAAATCCAATATTTTCTTAGGTAAGTGTGAAATGAATGCTCCTATGTTATGCGATAATGAACCCTAGAACGACCCGTAGATTCCTCCTATAATCGCCCAGCGTATATAAGTTATATAAAATTCAAGTTAAATAAACCGTTGAATGTAATGGGTCTGCCCTAGGTCCACAACCAAACAAGGAACAGGAGATAAGGCGGGCCCACCAATTCTAAGTCGATTGTGACTAGATTCTTATATAACTCTAGCATATACACTTAGCAATTATAGCTGAAATCTAACAATTCTAGATGAAATGTAGTTTTAACAGAAATATGTTTCCAAAGAAAATCCAATATTTTCCTTATAAAAGTTATGTAGTCCTAAATCCCAGGACCGAAAGTAAACAAGTATTTTTCCATACTTAAAGTAATTCATGCAAGTTTAAATCGACATAAACTCGTTTAGTTTGGAAGTAAAACCCCTTTTCAAAGTAGAAGTTTCCATGTAAACTTGAAAGATTGTTAACTACCCATGTGAGTCGTTATAACCATACTATGACGAGAAATAACCTGCACAACGTTTTTCAGACGTTAAGATACTATGACTCTTGTCACCCGTAGACCTGCAGGTCCCGCTGTAGCTAGCAGCAAGGTGTGGGATGTCAAACCCAATATAGATCTATACACAATTATCATGCTCTCCCTACAAGAGACTCTGGTTATAACATACATGAATTGGGATCCCGTACTCGAACGTACGGGGAGAGAATTGCCTCACAACCTAAGTTAACTAGTTTACACATAGTTTGATATTAAAACCTCTTCCGTGAAGGAAGTAAAATCACCTTTTCTGAATCAATTAGTGATATGAAATCCTTAAACTATTGCTATTATAGTTTATCCCGTAGGATATGAAAAACCCATTTGTTTTGAGAGTAAAACCTTTTTCATGTAGTAAAAATCCATAAACTATGCTTATTGGAGTTTATTATATGTGTTCGAAACGAATGAGTAAACCTTATCATGAATGACTAAATTTCAGTTTATGATGATAAACTAACAAGAAAATACATTCATTATTTAGAACTTATAGTTATGCACTTTGCTCAACATACTACAAAGTGTTATGAAAGTTGTAAGCTGTTAACTAGTTTTTAACCTTTATACACTGTTTTAGAAAAATTATAGAAAAATCATACGAAGTCGAAAACTGAATCCGTAAATTCTGAGAGTTCACAAAATGTGTCTAGTTTATTCATAATTTTTATTATGATTTTTAGAAGTCTTTAACTTGTGTTAAAATCTTCATATTCACAGACCGGTCCGAATTCGTTTCTGAAATGATAGGTAGTTTTGTAAAAATCACCATAAATTGTAGAGAAATTGTGTAGTGATGTGCAAGTAGTTTTGAAAACTAAAATGTTTAAGTTGACCAAAACAGTCCGTGAATGGACTTGAACTTTTCTGATGAAAGCTGTTGGGTGAGTTTAGTTGTGCCTTTATGCTCTCCGCTTTATACTTGGTATTACTACTATGAATATTTTATAATGTAGTTAGCGAGTTCCAGCATTACGAATGTTTCAACAAATTGTGATGAAATTTGCATTATAAGTCCTACCAGTTCTTTTATAATCGCTTGGTGTAAACTAGTCGTATATCATTAAGATTGCAAGGGCATTCGGATGGGTGACCCCGCCTTAAGCCCACAACCAAACAAGGAACAGGAAATGAGACGGAATCACACATTCTAAGTCCATAGAATCTTAATGATACATGACCATAATGTTTACACTAGCCATCATAGATTCACCAGTAAAACCCTGCGTTTTTATATAGATGATAAGACTTATTCGGGTTTTGTCGTGTTCTCGAGATTTATGGTTGGTATACTTTAATCGATGCTAGACTTAGTGATAAAAGAAATTTAAATTTTGAACGTCGACGTTAGAAACACGTACTGATATTTTCGGGTGGTTCCGGGGTGGTCTCTCCTGCGGTGATCGCGAGCACTCTTCCACCATCACCGACATTCCTTGCTCTTGGGCAGTTCCTTTTAAAGTGCCCTGCTTCGCCGCACTCATAACAAGCTGGGCTTACTCTAGTGCCAGGGACCTTGTTGATGGGTTGTGCCGGTGCCTTACAGAAACGGGCAGTGTGCCCCTTCCTGTTGCAATTTTTGCAATGAATTTCTCGACAAACACCAGCGTGATGGAAGTTACACTTGTTGCATTTCGGGAGGGTTCCAGCATATCGATTTATGGGTGCTGGCGCAGCATGGGTTGTGGCAGCATGAACAGCAACGATCTGTTGCTTCTTAGTGAAGTCCTGGGCTGGTTGGTCCTTCTTGTTGTCCCAGAACTTCCTTTTGTTGTTCCCTCCTCTCGCTTGTTCAGGGTGGTTATCGTAGTGTCATGGTTGGCACGATGGTCGATGAGTTGTTGTGCCAATTCCTTGGCACTCTCAAAGGTAGTTGGTCTTGAGGCCAACACGCTATCTTGAATTTGGGGGGACAATCCCCAGAGGTATCGCTCCAATTTTTTGCTTTCCGGGGTGACCATAGCGTAAAAAAACATCCGAGTAGGTTAGCTGTGTTCGAAATTTTCAAAAAACTCTAGTTTTGTTTGTTATGTATTCAAGAATTTATAAATATTTCTTTATATTGTTTGGTGAATGGTGACAGCTATATTCCAGAGCTAACTCAGTACGTGTTGTGTTGATTGATCGCTTTCCATTGTGATGACACCTTTTTCGGGCACATTCTGACCTGAAATTTCACCATATTTTATCTCAGAATCCAAAAAATCTTAATAAAAAATATTAAAAAAAAAAAAGATTCACCTATTGAAAGTTTTGGCTTGGGGTTAATGCAAAAAAAACGGATTTCGGAATGATCATCGATTGTATCTGAACACAACCTCTCAGATTGATCAAAGAATAAAAATTTGTTCTTTTTTTCTTTTTAAGGTGCATTTGTTTTAAACAAATGAAAATTGATCATAAGAGAACAGAACTTGAATAAAAATTGCAATTGACCATTTTTTTATAAATATTTGTTTTTAATATGGCTGGAATTGAGATCCCAAATGAAAATGGTACCTTTATTACCAGTATTTGTTTCTCCATTTCGAGATCTTACTAAAAAATAAATTGCAGATAGTGCAAATCGCTACATTAGTGCATTCCTTAATATGTACTTGTTAATTGTATGGATTATTTTCCTACCCGATTCTTTATTAAACCAACCAACATGTAAAAAAAAAATTATCAATAAGTGTCATTTAAGAAATTTTCGGGTATACCTGATAATTACCCGACCCGACCTCAAACCCGAATACCCGAAACCCGAATTACAATATAGGTCGGGTATCGGGTATTATTTTCTTAAGGAAATACCTGTTCTACCCGAAATCCGAAAATTTTACCCGTTCGACACCCCTAGTATGAGGTCTTCAAGTGAAAGGTTTAGGCAGGTGGTGGCCATACGGTGTGAAATAGGCATCTGCACTATCCTGTCACCTGGGTACATATTAGTCAAGTCAATACTATTATCTCACTGTTGGTGGTGATGGTTGTGGTGGAAGAAAGCAAAAGGAAGAAGGAAGTTTCAATTTCAATAGGCGGTTGCTTGATTTTGTTTTTTCTTTACATATTATTATTTTAATTGTAAAAATAAATTACAACATATTTATTATAATATTGGGTATTGTGCTAGACTGCGACTTATATCTGTTCTTTGATAAGTATAAATGTATAGTAAGCACATGCATATTATTATGTTGTTAAAAGATAGGAATTTATATTAGTTAAGTAACTTGTTTGCAATAAAAGAAGTACGTAAACAAAAACAAGTCTGAAATACTTTAACAATACAATAAATCTTGTTGCGAAATGAAATGGGTTTGGGTTTGGGTTTGTTTGATTAATTAGTGGAGTTTTGTCTAAATAAGCATCTGCTGAAGCAGAATAACTTGTTGCTGTTGGTCTGGAGGCAAAGAGCTTAACTGCCCAGCTGTCAGATTCATCACTTGCTCCAATAGTGCTGTAATTGGGTAGATTTTACAAAATACAATGCCTTAAGAAGAAACAAAAAATTAAGTACAATGTTCATAAAAAGAGACCAAGGCCTTGATACAAAGAGTTCAAATTACAAACCAAAACTAATCCAAAGCCATTGGAAACTCCACTTCCTACAAAAAGGATAAAACCAACCCCTATATCAACAAAAAGGAAATCCAAAATATAAACAGTCAAATTAACCATGAAATCCACAAGCTCCCATCTAAAAAAACCACCAGCTCAACCAAGGATTATCAGCCAATCTACAAAAAGGAATACCACAGAAAAATGGGAAAAAAGGTATCAAACAGCAAAAAAGATGGATAGGACAAGACATCCTAACTATCAGCCGGAGTGTTATATGACCCTTAAAAAAACCCATAATGGTAAACCAAACAAACCAAACCAAATCAAATTATCATATTCCATAAACCCCAAATGACACCTCTCCTTTAACGAAAACAAATGAATGGTAACAGAAAATCTCGCCCCAACAAAAAACTTCCAAAAATACCCTCCAATCAAAAACAGCTTAAAAAAAAATTAAACAGCAAGCTCCAAAACTCAAGCAAACAAAAAATATATCATCCCCACAAAAATATGATAAACCCCAATAGTTCCCTTCAACCCAATCAACAATTTTAAAGAGTTGCAGACTGAACACGGCATCAATCACGTGTCCAGGATCTTTAGAAAGAATATTCTCACAAAAGATCCTGTATGATACAAAAAACGTCAATTTTTTGTGAAAAAAATCTAATGGAAAACCATTAGATAATCTATGAATTCCGTCAATTCCAAAAAAATAATTGATCCATAAAGAAAATAAAGTAATCTCCATATCCCAAACTCCATCCATCCTTCTGTGAAGACTGCAATTACAGAGGAACCAGCAGCCAATACCAACATCTAAGTCACAATTCCAACCCCAAACAGAATCCTTCACAACTTTTCACGAAACCATAAAAAAAGTTATCCATAATCATACAAGTTATTATTCCCTCCTCCAATTTCCCTTTTTTTCCAAAGATCACACCACTTCTTACAAATCTCCATATTATTCTTACTATATTGGATCTTCATTCCCAAAACTTTAAGACGATTTTGATCCTCAATATCAGAAATAATATTCCCAGCAGTCCTTATCTTTTTCTTTCCAAATACCATAAACAGCTCCAGCAAGGCAAAGCTTTTTAATAGTATTACTCAAAACTTTTCCTTTGACATTAGAGCTAAAAAATCCGATAACATTCTCCCAATCATTAGAAACTTCACTGAAATTCGCTTTAAACTTAAAATGTTGTCAAACAGTTAAGGAAAAACTACAAGAAAAGAATAAATGAGCATGAAAATCCATTTGCTGTCTACAGAAAGCACACGTCAGACTCTAGGAATGGAATGGTCCCAACTTTTCACCCTATCTTATGTTTTTAGTTTACCCAAAATAGCAAGCAATAAAACAAAAGCATGACTAGAAATATTTTGACTAAACCAAACAATCTTGTACCAAGCAACTTCCTCCTTTTGCATTCTTATACTGTCCCAAACAACATGAGTCGAAAAAATTACCTCATTACCTTTGCAGTCCTTCCATAACAACTTATCCTGCCCCATTCTGCTACCACCAACAACATTATACAAGCAGATATTAGGAAACCTGTCATACCAATCAGCAGGCCAATTAATAGCATCATTCAACCATAAATCAGCCACTTTAGTATTGTCATTGAACCCATCTTCAAGAATCATTCTTCTAGTAACAATTTTACTCAAAATACCACTAGGATGCCACAAATCATGCCAAACTGAAGTCTTCTCACCATTCCCAATCTTAGAAACAATATGATTTCTAAGATGACTTCTAAAATTGAAGTACAATGTTGGAATAGGGAAGACATGAAAGTAGGATGCTAAAACAAAAAAATAAGCACAAGTACGTTGCTATTTCTTACATTTACGCCTAATAGAAAAACTATTAAAATGCAACTTTTTCAGGAACATATTAAGATCAACCGCTTCAATTTAAGCAGCAAAAGAAGAATTTTGCTCCGTGTGTTTATTATAGTAGATACTACTGTGTGACTCGTTACATCATCACTTCCATTTGATGAAACTTGCAGCACAGGTACTTTTTCATTCTGATTATGAATTGGCTCTTGTTCATCACCTCCAACATCCTGGTCACCCATGGCTTACGAGAAGCATAGCTCGGAGAGCTAGAAGTGAAGGCATAGATTTACTTGCTTGTCTTTGGAAACTGCAACATCAACCACAAACCATCAGCAGGATGTTGGAGATGATGGACCACAACAATCTCATAATGAAGATCTCTTATCAACTTCAACTAATCTAAGGAATGAAGGTCCCAATGAGAGTCCAAGGCGCAAGAATAGATGTTGGTGTTTTTGAACCACATCTGCTTTCAGCTATAGAAGATGCAAGAGTCGATTTTGTTTCTCAAAATAGATTAATATAATTGATAGTATATTTCTTATTTGTTCCAGAAAAGTATTTTTAATCATAGGGTACAATGTTGTCAAGTGATTCTGAAAATACAGTGCTACAAAATGTATAAAGCTATATTTTCCAATAGGGTATTATAAAGTACAAAGTTGTAAATTGTTTGCTTCTGAAAGTACTGGATTAGCCAAGTATTGTGGAAAGATGTCACTCCTTAGATTATTAAAGCAACCAGAAAATGTAGCAGTTTCTTAAGAATTCAAGTTATACATTTAGTTAAGCACTAAATAGTCTAATTATGTTTGGGTGTAGTAGGTCTTATACTATTTTTATATTCACTGGCTTTAACCTCATGAAGGAAAATCATGAATGTGGAATACAATTGACTAGATTCTCTACTTAGAGAAACATGTCATGCTGATGGTGATCTCAATTGTAAAACTAGCTATCATGAAAAGTTGTAATAGGGTTATGCATGTTAAGTTATCGAAGTGATTTGAACTTTTTTTATTATAAATATAACATTTCATTGCAGTTAGTTCTTGAATTTGTCCCTTACATTAATGATCTCTTAAAAATGGTAGTGTTACCCCAAGAAACTTTTTTCATAGCTCACGGAACATTTATGGTCCCTTTTTCGATGCCTTCACTTCCAGCTCTCCTGGTAGAGCTTCTAGTAACCCTCCTACTGATGCCAGTGTCATCAAGAGAACAACTTCTAGCAATTGACTTACGTGTTCTACCACGATTACTACTTGCAGTTCCTTTATAGTCTAAGTGAAGATTTTCATTAGAAAGTTTTGAAAGCCTAGTCACCATTTCATAAGTTTTAATGTTAGCAGAAATTTGATGCTTCTTGCACAGTTCTCGAAGCTCCGGCCTCGTCATTTTAAAATAATCCATGTGCACCGAATAGAATTAGACAGAGACTAACAATTAACAAATAAGCATTAAGAATGTGAGTTTATCAGGTGATTCGATTTGGCAACTTTTGCAAAGTCGTCGTCGATTCATTGCTTTTCCAAGACCACCGGTCTTCTTCCTCGGTTCAACCGACTGAAAAACATTTGAAGTTGTCGTTGATTCATTGCATTTCTAAGACCACCAGTCTTCTTCCTCCTCTGTCCATGATACACCGCCTCTGATGTCCAATACCATCACTCCAGGTATTTTCAGCACCAACTCCAAAAAAAATATTATTCCAACCTTTTTCTCCATGGAAGCGGATAACCTTCGTCCCTTCTCCGATTCCGTTTCTCCATTTTGAGTTTATTTGGAATCCCCACCCAATCTCAAATTCATCTTCCGTCTTTCACCCCAACTCGCATACTCTCTCATACGCTCTTTCAAACCATTTGATTTCATGTAATTTAGGGTTTATATTGACTAGTAAGATGATACATGCATGACGGGGCGGGCCAGGCTCTTGAGGGCTTACGGGGTTGGTGGACTTGATGAGGAGGATGATAACGCCGCTGATGATTACATTGACTTTGAAGATGAACACATCGACAAAATCTCGGTATAATTTTGCTTCCATTTGGGTTTGCTTTAGACTTCCATCTTCCCCTATCCTATAATTTGTTTTGGTCTTTGATTTGGGTTTCCACCTTCGGCTATAAGGTTCTTCAAAAATCGTTGTGATATTTTTGTGTTCTCCTTTCTCTTTTACCCTTCAAACGGTTTTTATGGACATACATGACTACCTCTGTTTTCTTTTTTCAGCCAAGTTCTATCCACCGGCTTTTCCACCAATAGGTGAGGTGTCGATAATTAGGTTAGCTGTGTTCGATTCAGCCCTAATACATTGCAGCCAACAATTATTTCAGCTTCTTGAGATAAGAAGGTGAAGGTCTGAAACCTCACTAATTGCAAGCTCAGTTGTAAGAGTACAAGGACCCTTTTGCTTTTATATATACTATAGATTACTGAATTCTCAAACTGTTATGTTGATTTATACAGTAAGAAAAAGAGAATTTGATGTCGAGTAGGGTGGAGTTTGGATTGATTACCACCATACTTTTAAAAGGATAATATTGTAATATTTCTTTCTGTGAAAAATATTTTTATTGCTTTATTCATTTCTGATGTTTTGTCTATCTGTTGTGGTTAAACATTTGTACTTATTGACCAATTTCCCCTTATCTATATAGAATCTATCAACAAAATCAACTGTTTTTAGTAGTCATTGTTAAACTCCATCTCATCCATGTGATGAGATACTTACCTGCAAAAAGTGACAATTCCAGTATCTATATACAAAATCAACTGCCAAGATCAAACAAATTACTTTTTTTGTCTTGGGAATCAATATTATAAAGATTACTTTGTTTCGTTTACAGGAATCATTATTAATTGCCACATAATAACTATATTTAATAGTTATTAACCTATTTTCCCTTGTCTAACTTATATCTTTCAAAAAAAAAGAAAAACAAATGTTTTTTTTTTAACTTTTGTAGCTGATATCACTTATAAGTTCTTCAAGGGTAATATTGGAATTTGTGGCTCACCTCTGTGGATATGGAAGCTCCTGCTGTTGCTTTTACTATTATGGTTTTGAAGTCCCTTACTGTTCATGATTTTTGTTGTGCTGTTTGATGTAACTGTTTATTATAAAGGAGTTCATGGTGAGGAGCTTTATCTTATTCCATTGTTGAAATATTTATATGCACATTTGACAATATTGCTTATTTTTTTTTCTTTTTATAAACTTTCAGGTGACCTGAATGAAACTTATTTTGTTGGTAATGTTGATGTTGATGATTCATCTCTATAGTTGGTCAAATGTACTTATCAGTGCTTGGAAAAATCTATAGCTATCGGTAAGTATTGCTCATCATTGTTTTGGTTTGGATGGAATGGAATGTGATGTAATGACAAAGAAATGAATGGAATCAACAGTTCCATTCCCTTGTCAGTTTCTTCCCACCAAACACTTTCTAATATCTTTATTCATTGTTATTTTGTTAATCCAGTGAAACCTCGTGAAATTGGGGAAATTATAAATCGACATGGTACCATGGCAGGCTTATATTTGTTAATAATTTATACAACTTTTTATAATGTCTTTTTTTTACTCATCACATTGAGCATGTTGGTATTGATCTTATAAAGAACAAGGCTAGGGTTGTTTCTTACAGAAAGGAAGTTTATGAGGAATTTGATGATATTTATGTTCATTTCTGTTTTTTCTTTTCTGGGTCTTTGTACTTTGTTTCTTATCATTAAATCACACTGTTGGAAACCTACAATATCTTTTGAGCATTTATATTTGTTTTTTTCAAAACTCAAAGGCCTCCAATAAACTGTTCTATGAATTTTAGTTTTTAGTTAGGTTCTTGTATTATTTGTGCAGAATTAAGTATCACAGTATGCATTTGTCATGAGCTCCACTTGGGTGTGTTGATTACATATTAGTTTGAGCCAACAAAAATCAAAATACTCTATAAGATTTCGACCTCTTCACTCTGTTTTTATGACATAATGGGTTTGACCATTAATGAATTTCTGTATTTTTTTTTGTCTCAATTTCAGTTTTACTCAATTATTGCCTCTAAATTGGATAAAGGTCTGAGTATTTTCAGTTAACAAGCAATTTCCTTTTTATATAATTTTTTTTACTATTTGTTTTTTTCTTTTAGTTAGGTGAGCCCTTGCAGTTTCTAATTTGGGCACACCCTCTTCTAATCCTCAAAATGATCCACCAATTTATGCATCACACTTCAGATGACATAGCCGAGGAGGATAAAAGGTATCGCCTTTGAAGGCTAATTTTCAAATTCACAGTTTTGTGTTATTTGTATGTTATGTTTAATTTCAAGAAATACATTTCAAAGTATGGCTGGCATGATCTATTGTTCTTATGCTCATGTTTCTTAGTTTTTTACATGTACAAGTCAGAATTGCCATGGTTGGAAGTATATGGGTCTTTCAGATTCTTACCTATGCGTAAAATTTATTATATTGTACTTTGAAAAATCCAATGCACATAGTTGTAAAGTCGTGTTGCTATTGTAATAGATAGGAATAACATTTTCTTTTTGTTGGATCTGGAAAGATAACCTATTTTACTCTGATTTAGGTGTTGTCTGCCACTGACCTTCAAGAAACAAATATTAATCAACATGTTTTACAATGGAATACCCTTCAAACGGGTCCTTCTCTAGTTCTAATTTTAAAAAAAAAAAAAAAAAAAAAAAAAAAAAAAAAAGGTCACACAACCCATCCTGGTCCTAAGCATCTTCTGTCACTACAACTAGAGGTGGGAGACCGGGAATAGGAAATTTTTCGGTCTGACATCAAACAAAATTCGATTTCAATAAAACTCATATGATTTCGATTTCAACGGACAGCAGAAGAAAAAGGAAAACCGAGAGCAGGCAAAATCTAGATGAACGAAAGCAGGAAAAATTTGAAGAAAATTGAACCTGAATCGAATCTGTGGGTTGCAAAGGTTGTCGGTGTAGCTGTTGGTTGCGATGGTCTCCGCCAGTGGCGACGATGTAAATCGGCGGCGAGCAGGGAGGAATCGCTTGAAGCCGATGAGAGAAGAATAGAGGCTTCTGTGTTTTTTATTTTTTTTGTCGCAGCAAACCTTTTAGACAAAATTAGGGTTACACATATGACTATATCATACGAGAGGTGTTGCTTATCAATGTGTTCCAAGGGGAAAGAGTTAGTTAATTGCGTTAAAGACCCTCCAACTTTGAAGTCTTCTAATTTTGCACTCTTTCATTTCCAATTTGGAAAAGAAAAGAGTAAAGAAAAGTGCAAACTAAAGGGAGAAAAAAAAAAGTTGTAATAACTTTTTTACGTGTTCTTGACACAAGAAAAAGGGTATACAGAAAAATCTCAAATTTTTTTCAAAAGTTTCAATAAAGTTTTAAAAGTTTTTTTTGAACAAAAAAGTCCTAATATTTTGAAAAAATCATATAATCTATCATTTGCTGTTCAAATATAAAAAAGGATTTTTTCGTAAATTTAGGCAAAAAATCAAAATATTGGGACTTTTCTGCTCAAAAAAAAACTTTTAAGATTTTATTGAAACTTTTGAAAAAGTTTGGGACTTTTCTGTAGATAACCCCAAGAAAAACTAAGAAACCTAACCATTTTATAATTAGCACTCTACATTTAAAAAAAATATATTTTTTTTTATTCAACTTGTATTTTAGTAACATACACTTAAAAGCAATATTTCTTATAGATTTATGCTAAAATAAGGATCAAGTCATTGGAAGTTAAATTTATTTTTAGGTCATTTGATCTCTTACTTTATTACAAAATTACAAGAACTGTATTTAAACGTTGTTTTTAACTTTTTTACATCCATATAATTTTTTGTGTGAAATTTGATCAAGTTTTGGTCAATGATAGTTTTATTGTTAAAAATATTGTTATAATTACTTGAACCAGATTTTGTTAAACACCAAAGTTTGAATCTACACATTTAAACCTAATCATGTTATCAGGTAGTTAAAATAGCATATAGACCGCATCCCTAAAAATTGTAGGGGGGACATGCGTAAGAATATTGAGTTTTTTTGTTTTTTTTGGAACCGACAGAAATATATTAAACCACTACCTATGAAGCAATAAGACAGGGCAAAAGAAACAAGCAAACAACAAATTGCAAAGTTTTACAAGGCAGTAAAAAGAGAACAAACTCAATCCACTCATTTACAAACCGCCTTTCCTTCCTCTCTCTTTCACCCATTTAAATACTAACATAAGAATATTATCCGCCAATTTGGATGCACTAGTTTTCATATTGTTGAACACCTTACCATTTCTTGCCCTCCAAATTCACCAAAGATAACCATATAGAATAGCCAAGAGGGTTTTTTCGGTTTTTTGGGGTAATTACCCCAAACGACAGCGTACTTTAT